GGACTTCTCCCACAGGATCTCAGACTATCCGGATGACCTATGTTTTTGCTAGGATGGTATCACATCCACAGTAGACATCAATAAGCTAATGCTCCCTTTCCCTGTAAAGACACGTTCACTTCTACAATATTACGACTTGAGTTGTTCTTTCAGTGAAAGTGGAGTGGAATTGTGACAATGATAGGGCTCATTTGCTACCTATAGGTGCCATAACACATCCACAGTAGACATCAATAAGCTAATGCTCCCTTTCCCTGTAAAGACACGTTCACTTCTACAATATTATGACTTGAGCTGTTCTTTCAGTGAAAGTGGAGTGGAATTATGACAATGATAGGGCTCATTTGCTACATAGGTGCCATAGGGGTCCTGAGAGTGCGTTGACTTCCCAGAATCTATTGGGAGCAGAATCTGAGCTTAATCCTCTCCATTAAGATTTGTAATTTCTGCTTTGACTCACCAAATTCTGCAAAATTGTTTTATGTTGCTTGAAACAATTCTTGTCAACGATTAAATGACATATAGGAAGAAGGTGAAGGGTGTCCCATTACTCACACAATCCTGTGTGTATTTACACAAATGAGAGCATCCTAGAAAACTGAAGAAAACATTTTTAGTCATTTAAAACACTTCAAAATATATTAATTTATCTATGTAGAATACATAAGAAAGTTACCCTGTGTTTTTCCTCTGGAGAGGGAATCAAAGTGGCTATAGAAAAGCGGTAGGAGGGCGGTCTTCCTTGTTGGTACCTTTGGAATAATGATTCCATTTAAGTGTGTTACTAACAAATATAAAGGTAGGAAAGAAACATATGCTTCTTCCCTGTCTTCGCAGGTTAAATAGAATTAGCACAATTCTGAAATTGCTGTTTTATTACCTTTTAAGAATTCTCCACCTCTATTTTACATGGGCCATTTGCAAAACGTATGTTTTTAAGTAAGTTACTCACTGTGATACTTTTTAATGCAACTTACCATCGTGTATATGTTGCTTAAAAGGCAATAGCTTTGTCTGGGTATAGTGGGGCATTCAAAAAAGTATAAAATGTGATATCAAGCTTTGGTGAACTTCTTTTGGAGGGGGGATGTTAGAACACATGGAGAAGCATAAAAATGAGGCAAATTCAAAGTCGTGCATATGAAATTATTACTGCAATGCTTAGCATTGATGAAAGAAACAATTCAAATAGATGGAGATGAGCGTGGGCTAGAACATCGATAGGGAAGACTTTATGGAACATTTGTGTTAGGGAGGTCAGACTGAGGTGCAGTAACAAACCCATCTTAGCAATTCAGTGACTGAGAGGATATAGCGTTTGTTTATTTCTCACGTAGCAGTCCAAAGCAGGCTTTGGGTTAGCAGCACGGCTCTCTTCCATGGTCGGAAAGACACTCAGGCGGGCGTTGGCTTTGCTTCCTTCACTGTGGCATCTCCGGCC